CTGCTTTATGGAGAATCACCTCATGTTAATCCATGTAATTAATTACCAGTGATGTTTAGGAAATAGGTTACTTCAAAAGCCTGTTGTTCAGCCAAGGACTGTGTGCTGTCGAGACGCTGCAAAAATTATTCTTTCTTCTCTGATCTGCCGAAGCGTTATTCGGGGTTGGAGTGTGAGTCGGAAGATGGAGATCTCCAGTCCCATCTGGACCGCCCTGACATTGAAATTGGGCATTGGACTAGAATGTGATGAAATGTTTCTGTAAAGGACCCTTTGCCATTCTAAAGCATCATCTCTACAGTGAAACTGACCTAAGGACTGGCTTGGTGAATCTAAGTATTGGAATATCCACCAGTTTTGAGGATTGTCGGCCCATTCTTTGCAGTTTGCCCTAATTGAGCAATCTCAGTGTGGCCCCCCAGGACCCTGGTCACAACTTCTGAAATGCCTTGTGTGTGGAGCAATTTTCATTCAGCCATTGTGGCTCCTTAGCCCCTATGGATGGGGGGATGCCCTGTGACTACCCTCCCACACGGGACCCCCAGTTTCCCCAGTCCTTGGGGGTGGGGGGATTCCCCCATCGCTCTGACTCCAGCTGCTGCTGATGGGGGGGAATGCCCTGCATTTCCCCAGCCTCCACGGGGTCAGTCCCCAGGGCTCTCCAGCCCACGATGTTGGGTGGGGGGGTGTTCCCTGGGGCTCTGCAGCTGCTTCAGCTGGTGGGGAAACACCCCTGCAGTTCTTCCCTGGTGCTGGGGAATGCCCCGCGATTCCCCACTACCCAGGGGGGGGTTGTGGGATCCCCCCTCAGTTCTCCAGTGCCCATGCGTGCCTGGGACCCCTGGTGTTCCCAAGGACCCGCAGATGTGAGGCAAATACCGAGCAGCTCCCCAGGGACCGGGAGCATTGGGGAATTTCCCCAGGGGCAGGGAAGAAACAGGTCCCCAGCTCTCCACCCCGTGCTTTGGGGAATTCCCTGTGGCTCCCCAGGCCCTGTGAATGGGGGATGAATCCCCCCTAAACCTCCCCAGAGGCCAGGGGGTCGGGAATTCCCCTCGGGAATCCGCCCCCAGCGCAAGGTGCAGGGAGGAGATCCTTTGAAGCTCCCTAATCCTCACTTGTGTGGGGGAATCCAGTCTCCGCAGGCATTGGGGATCCCCCCTTGGCTCTGCACTCCCCCTTGTCATGAGTGGGGGGGATACCCCGCAGGTCTGCAGTCCCCATGATTCAGGGGGACCGTGGGAGCTCCCTGGCCACTGCAGGCACCTGGGCAACCCCTGCAGCTCCCAGCCTAGGTAGGAATCCCCCAGAGTTCCCCAGTCCCTGGGCGGGGGGAATCCCCCTGACTGCCCAGTGCCTGTAAGTGGGGGGGGGACCCCTGGAGCTCTGGGCATGGGGGAGTGCCCCGTGGCTCCCCAGCCATCACCGGCAGGGGAATTCTGCAGCTCCCCACTCTGCACGGGATCTCCCAGAGCTCCCCAGGGTGGGCCCATGGAGCTCGCTGGACACCACAGGTGGCAGGGTAAACCCCACAGCTCCCCAGCCTGGGGGGAATTCCCGCAGATCCCCAGCCCCAGCAGATGGAGGATCCCCCACAGCTCCCCAGTTGCTGCCAGTGTAGGGGAGCCTCAGAGCTCTTCAGTCCCCCTGGTGCTACCTAGCCCTTGCAGGCAACAGGGTAACCCCTACAGCTCCCCAGCCTAGGGGAAGAAATCCCCCAGAGCTCCCCAGTCCTCTGGAGGTGGGAGATCTCCCACAGCTCACCCTGCTGTAAACATCTGTTCTCACTTTCAGGTGACATGGTAAATAAGAAGTGGGCAGCATTATCTCCC